CTTGTCAAGTCTGTCAGAGAGACAAGCCACGTACTCAGGCTCCTCTTGGGCTCCTGAAGCCCCTTCCGATTCCGGAAAGGCCAGGTGAGAGCCTGTCCATGGACTTCATGGACACGCTGGTCACCGGCAAGAGCGGCATGAGACACATCTTCGTCATCGTGGATAGGTTTAGCAAATATGCTAGGTTGATAGCCATGCCGGAGTCAGCAAAGACCGAGTACGTCATTAGATTGTTTAAAGAAAACTGGGTTAGGGATTTTGGTCTGCCCAAATCCATAGTCAGTGACAGGGATGTCTGTTTCACCAGTGAGCTATGGAAGGGCGCTGCTGCTGAACAGGGGACACAGTTGCAAATGACTTCTGGGAATCACCTAGAGGCCAATGGACAAGCCGAGCAACTGAATCGCGTTGTGCAACACCTGTTGAGGCATTACATTAAGCCCAACCAGGTGGACTGGGATGAGAAGCTCGCTCTCATCGCCAGCCTGTATAACAACGCCATACACAGCGCTACCGGGGTGAGCCCAAACAATCTACTACTGACCTTCAAGCCTAGACTGCCCTTAGACTTTCTCCTGCCTGAGAATCAGTCAACTGCTGCACCAGGCACCTTGGAATTTGCCTATAGGTATGAACAGAAAACGCAGCAGGCGGTAGAACAGATGCAGAAGGCACAGGCTGCAATGATCGAGTCTGAGAACAGACACCGCCGTCCTTCTACCTTTCAGGTTGGGGATAGGGTTTGGGTTAAGTCTGTAGAACTGGGACAAGAGCACGGGATTTCCCGCAAACTCATGCGCCAGTACTTTGGGCCTTGGGAAGTGTTGGATGTTGTTGGGACTGATCCGGATGGGCCATCGTATGTTATTCGGATCCCTGGTCACCTCCGTACATACCCAGTCTTTCATGCTTCTAAGCTTGCACCGGCCAAGGAAACCGATCAGTTTCCCTCGCGACGCTCAATGCTGCCCCCAACCATGGATGGAGAAGTGGACATTGATGACATCGTGGATCACAGGGAGCTCCCAGTTCAGAGACCTACAGGCAGGGGACGTCCTCCGAAACCGAAGCTGCAGTACCGCGTACGGTTCCAACATCATACTGATCCAAAGGAGGACCGCTGGTTTACAAGGGAAGAACTCATGCAGACCGCACCTCAAGTTATAGCCCAATACGAGAGAGCTCTGCAGAAGGGAAAGCGCCCCACGATCGAAGACTGAGCTTCTCAGAGGACTGTTGAAGCTAAGGAGGAGGGAACGCGAGGCTATGCCTCTATGAGCCCCGTTCAGCCCCTATTTTGGAGCCAGTCGGCCACCCTAAGTGAAGGCAGGCTCGACGAGGCCCTCAGGGCCCTTTTTCGGCTACTGCGCAACCAAGGAAATTCAGGCAGTTGCGCAGCGCCAGTTGGTTGAAGAAACTCAGGCCCTGGGCCGCCTGTGTGAATGAATGAAAAGCAGGCCCTGGGCTGAATACGGGTACCGGGCCGAACACAGGCCACAGGCAGTTGGGCACATGCAACCACCTCAGGCCCTGGGCCTGTTCTTGTGTGTACTGGGCCTCAGGCTACCGGGGCCTACTGGAAGCTTCCTGGGACTGGATGCAGGCAGGCCACTTCGATAAAGCAGAGGGCCTGCCTCCTCATTCGGCATTGGGGTGCTGGCTGCATGCTGCGCAAGCACTGCTGCGCTATTTGCTGGCTGGCGCCTACGCTCTCACGGGCAAGCAGGGAAGGAGCACGCAGCCATAGCCGAGCTGCGCTGCTGTAAGCTGGGTGAGGCGCAGGGTGGTCCTTGGGTGCTAGTGGCATCTGTGAGTTGGGGAACGAGGTTGTGAGTGTAGCGCGAGGCATACCTGGTGCTGGAAGCGTGCGACATTGGTCGCCATATGCTCGTACTTCGGGAATGCTGTTGATGTCATCCTTCGGCTTTGTAGTATAGGCTAGATAGGATCTGTCACATTTAGTCTGGGCGCCGAGCGCCAGATAGGATATCAACTCTGGTTTTTCGTTGATGATGATGGGACTCATTCAGCATTGTCAATTATGAACTCTTGGGGTGTTCTTATTTGGTGAATCTCGTGTTGCAATTCTGCTGTTGGNTTCGTTGATGATGATGGGACTCATTCAGCATTGTCAATTATGAACTCTTGGGGTGTTCTTATTTGGTGAATCTCGTGTTGCAATTCTGCTGTTGGTTCGAGGTCAAGACTATCTGGACTCATATGTATGATGCTGTTTGATCGTTGAAGTTCGCTATTGCTCATCTTCCTTGCAGGGAGGTCATTCAACTTTATTGAAGTTCGAAGTTTGAAGTTTGAACAGATACCATTTTCAGTCCAGATTGAGAAACTTGAAAAACAGTCAACGAGTCCAAAATTTGCCAAAAGCTTAAGGGCATACTCACGCTAGCACTTTCCGAAATGAATCTGGGAGCAATTACAGCCTCACCGGGACGAATCTGACTGCAATCACGTCCAGAGCTGACCAGGAAAAATCCCATGATACTACTTTCAGTCCAGATTCAGAAACTTGAAAAAAAAGGCAAAGAGTCCAAAATTTGCCAAAAGCTTGAGGGCATACTCACACTAGCACTTTCCAAAATGTATCTGGGAGCAATTACGGCCTCACCTGGACGAATCTGACTGCAATCACGTCCAGAGCTGACCACGAAAAACCCTATGATACTATTTGCAGTCCAGATTCAGAAACTTGAAAACTACTTTAAATTAGTCATCAAAGAGTCCAAATTTTGCCAAAAGCTTAAGGGCACACACACACACACACACACATTCTCTCTCTCTCTCTCTCTCTCTGTGTGCAAAATCGACAGACATGTGAAACTGCTGAAAGAAGGAGAAGAAAGGAATGGGAAAGATGAAAAGGGAGAGGGAGAGGAAAGTGGGAGAAAGAGAAGAAGAGAGGAAGGGGCGGGAGATATAAAGGACAGAGCAAGAAAGAATAACAAGTTGATGCCTTTGGCGCAAATCAACCTCCATTCAAGAATATAACAACGAAGATGCAAAGCTTCACTGGTGAAGGTCCCTACCCATCTTTCCCCGAACAGAAGGCATTGTCATTATAGTTGTTACTTGTGAAAGCTTTCAGTCCAGCCTGTCCAGGTATAATGACCGTCCATTTTATTCTGGTGAATTCGGTAAGTTTCTCAGCCTTTCCACCATGAAAAGGCCTCGTCCGCAGACCATCTTCTGTCTGCCCCAAATAGACATCACGGTCAACCCAGAACTTACCCTT